GTGTGTGTGTGTGTGTGTGTGTGTGTGTTGCAGTTGAGTATCAGTTGTCTCCTTCAGTCACTTTGCCTCTTATTGAACAATGGGGCTCACCGACTGTCTACACTGATGAGCTCCAAGTTTAGTAAGGGCCCTGTCAAGTCTCTTGTGCATGTGTGGTTGAGTATCTGATACACTCATTTTTCCTGGTGCTCAGAAGGGTTCAGTCCTGTCCCTGGGCACCCAGGGACAACTGTGGAGGTGGTGCTGTTTGTTGCCTGCCCTTGGTTCTCTGAATAGCCTCTCCTAGTTGTCCTCCCTTAGGTTTCCTAGACACACAGCCTGTTCTCCCAAAATGCACTCCTCAGAAGAGGCTGAGGTAGAAACCTGTCTGAGTTATGCGTATGCTAGTATCTGGTTGGTGAGATTGCATCATCTGAGGGATACTCCAAACAGCCAGTTTCCTCTTTTATTACAGCAGCAGAATATACATCCTGGCACTTGGCCACTCAAATGAACATGGCATTTCCAAGCCTCCCCCTACTGGTCACTGTAGCCCTGTGACTAAACAAATGGAGAAAGGGAAGAGAGTGGGTCAAAGTGCCAGACATCTTACAGCTTCTGGGAATATCCCAAGGAAATAGGTTCCCCACCCCCAATTCTCCACCCTCCTTGGAACAGGAATGTGACAGCTGGGGCTCTATTTCAGGCCACATAATCTCGGGTATAGCAGCCACACCTGTTGAAACTTCAGGACAGACAGAAGCTGTTCAAGAACTCCAAACAGCAGAGTAGCCAAGCAACTCTGTGCTTGCTACCTGCATCCAGGTGTTCAGTCCAGGAGAAGATGTAATTCCAACTCCTTTGATCCCTCACCATTTTGTTTTAACATGACCAACAGACAACTTAAGTTTAACGGAGCAGTTCCCAAGGCTATATGTGAGGACCATTTGCTTGCTGAGCCTGAGGTGATCCCAGCTTCATTTCAACATGGACCCGTGTGCCCAGAAGGGAAGCTCTGAGCCTCATCCTTTCTCTCAAGGGCTTGTGACTTTTTCAGTTGCTTCAAAACTTACTAGAGCAAAAAGTGACATGGAATTGCAAAGAAAGACACTCAAAAGAATGCTCAAATAAAGCACCAGAGTATTGCTGGGCCAGTGGACTGCCAGGAAGGAAGCAAGGAAGAAGAGAGGGCCTAGCATCCTCCAGGAAAAGGGACCCAAGCACAGGAAATGCTCCAAGTCCAGGAGAACATTCCTCAGGAACTTGCTGGGAACATGGGGCAGATCAGAGTGTCACCGACACCTTCTGTGGCTGCTCTTTCTTCCCAGGCAGGCGTATCTTTACCCTTGACCCTGCCTGTGACAGGTTGTTTTCTAACATGGCTAAGCTCATGGATTTTGAGTTTTGGATTTCTACTGACTGCCAACCTCACTTCCTTCTTTTTTTATTTTTTATTTTCTCTCACTTCCTTCTTAAAAGTTGGGAAACTTTTATGAGTGTCCACAGAATATCCTTGTAGCTAGGATGTAAAGGGAACATTTAAAACTTTGTTGGTTCAGATTATAGAGTCAAGGGTTTTTTTTTCTTATACTTTTCTGCATTTCCTAGCTTTTCCATGATAAATATGTACATTCCTACTATCATTTTAAAAATATTTTAAGAGTGTATGTGTGCGCATTCATGATGTGTAAGTCTATGACACGGGCATGCATATGTCTTGGTGTGTGTGTGTGAGAGAGAGAGACAGAGAGAGAGTGAGAGAGAGAGATCAAATTTCAAGACTCAGTTCTTTCCACCATGGGTTCTGGTGACTGAACTTAGGTCATCAAGTTTTTGTGGCAATCAGTTTTATCCACTTAAGCCATCTTGCTAGCCTGAAAATATCTATTTATTTATAATTAGATTTATTTTACTTTTTATGTGTATGTGTGTTTTGCCTGCATGGAAGCCTGTATACCACATGTATGCCTAGACTTCTTGGAGTCTAGAAGAGGCCATTGGATCCCTTGGAACTAGAGTTATAGATGACTCTATGTGGGTATTGAATTAAACCCAGGTCCTCTGGAAGAGCAGCCAGTGTTCTTAACCATTGAACTATCTCTCCAGCCCCGAAGAATATTTACTTTAAAAATAAATATTCTATTGAATTTGATGAGGTGCACCAAGAAAAAGTTCTGTGTTTTGCTGATCTGGCTTCCATGTACCATACTCCTGGGTGGGCCTCTTCCTGGCTGCCTCTCTAGAGTCAGTCTGGAGAAGTGATGGGCAGACTGTCTCTGATATGTGGCCCCTGAGCACCAACAAAGTCTCCACCACTGCTTACTGGTTCTGCAACCTGGGTGTGGTGCTTCCTGCCATGGACCATTCCATAAGCTTCCCATTTAAACTATATCTTTAAGCATCATTACCGAAGAAAATTTTTGTATAGAGCAGTTTAATGTATCTAGTTCCTAGACCTGGTTTTTAATAAGAGCTATTCATAGGTGGCCATGTAGCCTGTAGCATATAATAGAAAGGCTATTAGAAAGAACAGCAGAGTGGCTAGGGAGGTGGTTCAGTCACCAAAGGCTTGTTGTGCAAACATGGAAACATAGGTTCAGTCCTCAGTACCTATGTAAAATCTGTGATATAGACCTGTAATTCCAGCACTGGGGAGATGGAGAAAGGAGACCTAGCCAATCATTGAGCTCCAAATTCAGCAAGAGATCCTGTCTCAAAAAATAAGGTAGATAGAGCTTGAGGGAGACATTTGGCATTGACCTCTACCCCAAATGTGCATGTGTACACACACACACACACACACACACACACACACACACACACACAGAGAGAGAGAGAGAGAGAGAGAGAGAGAGAGAGAGAGAACAATAGAGACAGATTTTTCTAGATATATTATCACAGAGAAAAATCAAATTACATAAAGATATTCACTTGGAATGACATGTTATTCAAATAGAAAACACATACACAAAACTCTCCAGTGTGTAGTGTAACAGATGTGTTCATATGGATGAAAGCAGTGATGACACTTATCACAGATGGGGGTTGGGCAGTCAGAGGAAATTTAGCTTTTCACTTATGTTCTAGAAGAGTAAATGTTTATTCCAGAGCATGGTGCACTTGGAATACAGAGGGAGGCAGATCTCTGTGAATCCAAGATCTCCCTGATCTATAAAGAGAGTTCCAGGACAGCCAAGGATACATACTAAGACCTAGTCTCAAATAGCAAACAAAAATAAATAAAAAACTCAATTTCTTTTAAGAAAGAAATGGTGACTACAGTGGAGAAACCTGGCAAATGAGACAAAGTTAACAACGTAGACAAAATTAACGTGACTAGTGAGTTTGTGATGATTTGTGTTTCATCATGGTCCAAGAGCGTTCTGCTTCCCAAGCCGATACCACCCCCCACACACACTGTGAGCATGAGATTACCCACACACACACACACACACACACACACACACACACACACACTGTGAGCATGAGATTACCCCCCCCCACACACACACACACTGTGAGCATGAGATTACCCCACACACACACACACACTGTGGCCATGAGATTACCCCCACACACACACTCACACACATACAGACTCACACACTGTGGCTACGAAAGAAACAAGCTCACATTAAGGATCCTTCTATGATCTGCCTGGCCTGAACTCGGAAAGGCTGTCAATGTCACTATAAACAAGGAAAGACTGGGAAACCACGGGGTGGATGAGATGAGGCTGATATAACTAAACGCAAAGGGGGCCCTGGAAGAAGGCTGGAGCAGAGGGGAACTGGGCCCTCAGCTGACAGATGCACTGTAGTAACATAAGACACCGGGGCAGGAGAGCCCCTTGTAACTTTTCTGTAAACCGTGAACTGAAAAAAAAAAAAAGTTTTATTAAAAAGTGAAAACCCTAAAGAGAGCTTTCCTGACAGACAGCTTTCCCTCCGAGACTCCACTACAAGTAACAACTAATTATTGTGTTTTCTCACAGCTGTCCAGGTGCCCAGCTCCGCCTTCCCCTGTGCGGAACGCCCTGGAGAAAGAAACTTACCACGGTTCTTAGCTGGGAAACTACTTGCCAACTTCAGAGTCAGAGTGCTGACCTGCACACAGATGCTAAAAATTCTTGACAGCTACATGCTTGCAAAACTGCACCCAAGCCTCAGATCCATGCCCACATTCCAGCACCCTCCCAGGTTACCAGTCCTGATCTCACATGACTGCTACTCAACGTTCAGAATGGCAATATGAGTCCATGTGGGCCTTGATTCTGTATAAAGTGACAGAAATACTTGCAGAGGTCACAAATTATGACTCATGGTGAAATTCAGCAAAAAAAAAAAAAAATGTGTTGGTCGTTGACTCAAAATTTCTTTTCTTACACCATGTTGTCTTCCAACCTGCCGGGAAAGCTCTTTTCCAGGCAGTTTATGTGGCCGGCTCTTCTTCACCCCTCAGGTCTTCTTAGCTCAAATAAACACCCCACCCTAGATGGAGCTGGGCTGAGCACTATCAGAGTATGTCCCCTCCTCCCTTGTTCTCTGCCACATAGTTTTCCTCATGGCGCTCACATGTCAGAGAAACACTTGTATGTCTCTGTTTAATTTATTTTCTGGACGTTGCATATCATATCATATACATTCCTGGAGCCCAGGACAACTCCAGGCATGGGGAAACATTGCTGGAGGTGGGGAGAGAGAGAAGGAGGGAGGGAGGGAAGGAGAGAGGGGAAGGAAGGGGGAGGGAGATAGGGAGGGGGGGAAGGGGCAGGAGGAAGGAGGCAGGCAGGTAGGCTAATATGTAGAGTGATGTGTGTGTTATCTTTCTCAAACTCCAACCCTGGAACTGAACATGTATGAGTATTCTAAGCCTCTTTATCATCTATGAATCACAAATCAACTTGAAAAATCAGTGGTCATATTTGTCTGTCTTTGGTCAGTTCCAAGAATAACATTCATAAATCAACAAATAGCCCAAGGAAGTAGCTTCCTTCCTTCCTTCCTTTCTTCCTTCCTTCCTTCCTACCTTCCTTCCTTCCTTCTGCTCTCCTCCTCACCCTTCTTCCCCTCCTCTCATTCCTCTTAAGACAATATCTCACTCTGTACCCCAGGCTGCCCTGAACTCACTCTGTGCCCCAGGCTGCCCTGGACTCACTCTGTATCTAAAACTGCCCTGGAACTCTTGGTAAACCTCCTGCCTCAGTCTTCATAGTGCTGGGATTATAGGTGTTAACCAATAGTGTCTAGCTTCCTCCATCCCTCTCTTTTTAACACTTGGGAGACTGCCTTCTACTAAGCTTTGATGAGAGAAATCTGGAAGCCCATCCCACCTGACCTTCCACCCCACCCCACACCCCCAACCAGGGAAGGAACAGAGAGCTCAGGTATAAGTGTCAATTTCTTCTCCACTCTGGCCCAGCAAAGGCAAGCAGGAAACTTCCCTGCTTCCATTTCCAACATGGCTTCAGATACAGTTGCCTTAACTTGGGCTTTCTGCAGGCCGTAGCCAAGCCACCATTTGTCATCACTGTGAGTCCCGTTTGCAACCACACAGTCCTACAGAGGTAAACTCCTTTGGCCTGAAGTGCCACCGGCTCTCCTAACCCTGGTCCCTTGCTGGCCATGGCACCTGGACCACTTCTGCACGTTTTCAAACATCTAAATCCACCCCACCTCCCTGTCCCTCTCTTGCTCTTATTTGCCTCTTTAACCATTAGGCCCCCAGACTTTAACTCTCTCTGCTTTCTCAGCCAATGAGAAAACAAATTTGTGATTACGGGCTTAAGGTTTTGTGTTTTGTTTTGTTTTCTTTCTTTTTTCTTTTCCCTCTTTTCTCTTAATTTTAGACAGGATCTCACGGAGCCCAGATCAGCTTTGAACTTGTGATGTGGCAGAGGGGGATCTTGAGGCCTTTGTCCTCCGGTCTCCACCTCCCAAGTGCTGGGGTTACAGGAGCGTGTCACCATATCCAGGCCCTCGGGTGTGAATACCTGAAGTCTCAGGTAGATTGTGATTACTCGGTCTCTGAGGTAAACTGCCCAGCACCCATAAAGCTGAAGCTCAGAGATACCCTTCTGCGTTCTTCACCCCCACCCCATAGCCTGTCAGTTTTGTGTGAGGAAGCAGAAGATTCAGATACTTTTAATGTCCTCTTGTTGATAAACACTCCTCTTGACAGTGACATATATACCATAGGGTAAAATGGCAATGTCAGCCCTCAGCACCAGCAAGATGCCAGCTGAGGAGACAGCATACCCATAGTTGGGTGTGCCATGGAGGAATCTGGGAGCCAGAATAACCTGTACTAATATGCCACTTCTACGGCTGACTTATGTGGCCAACCCGTTTCTCATTGGGTTCTCTAGACCTGCATTCAGCAGATTAAAAATGTAATAAGAAGTATATGTGTATGTGTGCAAGTATTTGTGTTTGCTCTGGAACCCACTGGAACCCTTCCGGCCCCACTTTCTCCATCCTGGGGTGATGGTCCAGGATGTTCACTGGCATTCTCAACTTCCCCACACCTTTGGTTTTCTATTTCGTCACTCTACAATTCACTTCAGAAGTTCAAGCAACAGAGTAAGAGAAAGGAGCCCTAGGGCCTGTTAGCTGTGTGGCTCTCCCTGATGGTCCTGCAGCTGTCACCATAGAGCTCCTCATGGGTCCTCTAACCTTGAGAATGCAGACACCTGCCTCTCTCCCCAAGCAGGGACCAGTCACATCCTAACCTTTTCCTCATGCGAAACTCCTCTTGCTGACTTCCCGGATGTGACACCATGCACTTCCGGGATGTGACAGCATGCCAGTCTCTCTCAGGATCACCCCTCTGCCCTGTTTCTTCATGCCCTCCCTTCTTGTTCACCCAAGCTCACCCACTTCCCATTTCCTTTCTCTCTCTCTCTCTCTCTCTCTCTCTCTCTCTCTCTCTCTCTCTCTCTCTCTCTAACATTTCCTCTCAGACTATGAACACAGTCAGGTCTTCCTGTCCTAAGTTAGCTAATAGGTCACAAGCAAATAATGCAAAGGCACCAAGGTCCAGACAAATGGATGCTAATGCGTCGTAGAAACTTCCTGTCTCAGCTCAGCTTCCTGCCTTTCTCAGACAACAGCCACCTGACCGGCCTCCCTGAATTTGGTCTCTTCCTTCTTCTGTCTAATTCACACGCTGCTGCCCCATGAGTCCTCCTAAAACACCGCTCTGCGTACAGCACTCCGCGTATGGGACACCGCACTCTTTAGTACTTCTCACCCACATTTGCGATCGCAGCACCACCCTCTCGCTGGCCTCTTTCCACTCTTTATGTTAGTTCTCTTCTTACTTCTTGGTGTTTCCCCTAGCAGCCCACACTGTATGCAGCCCCACTAACACGCTGCACACAAGGGTTCCTTCCATTGGCTGCACTCAGCGCTAGTCAGCACAGGACTTGATGCCTCGCTGCTGAGGATCTGTGGAAGCCGATGGCGGGAAGAATGAGGATGCTACATCCCACATCTGTGTGCGCCTTTCCTGATTATGATAATTAACCTGCATCTAATGGAGCTTTGATGTAGAGGGTGAATTCCTAAAGGTGACACATGGGGCCAAAGGGAGCAGAAGGCCAATGGACCATGTGTTTCTGTCCTACCTGGTAGAGCTTGGTGTTGCTATAAATATTCTGCCAGACTTGATCATAGTTGCACAAATGCAAAGCCTGAGAAGTCATGAAAGATGAGTGACATGGAGCCATAGTCACTGTCCTTGCAGCGTGTTCCTGGAGCACTTGCATGACTTTCACAGGGTCAGAGATCTTTGGTAGAGCAGGGAGAAGAGACGGTTAGTAGACGCAAGAAGGGTCCGCTTGTTTCTTTTTTTAAAAATGCATTTATTTATTTATTTATTTATTTATTTATTTATTTATTTATGTGTGTGTGTGTGTGTGTGTGTGTGTGTGTGTGTGTGTGTGCATAGACTGTGTGTGTGCCTGTGTCTCTGTGTGTGTGTCTGTATGTATATTTGTTGACCACATATGTGTCTGGTGCCTCTGGAGGTCAGAAGAAGGCATCACATCCCCTGGAACTGGAGTTATGATGGTTGTGAGCCACCATATAGAGACTGGGAAAGAAACTCAGGTCTACTGCAAGAACAAGAGCTTAGCTGCTGCGCCATCTCTCCAGCCCTGGGTTGGTTTAATTTTTTAGCTATTTGGTGTGTGTGTGTGTGTGTGTGTGTGTGTGTGTGTGTGTGTGTGTATAGGGTGTGTGTGTGCGTGT